TCTGGTTTTGCTTGTCCTGTTCCTACCGTTGGAGAAATTTGAACCCAACAGTGGTGGTACACTCCTTTAACCCCAGATTAGGGAGGTGGAGGCAGGTGGATCTCTGTAACTTCCAGGCCAGCTTTAAGACTCTCGAAATGACTCCTGCTCCTCAAAACTGTCGGCTGTCTGCTCATGTTTTCCAGGTTCTGTCGATCTCTGTGCTTCCCAGACATTGATGACCCCTAGCGGTTGTATAGAGAAAGCATGCAAGAGGCTCTGACTTCAGTGTACTTAGCATGTATGGGACCCTGGCTTCAGTCTCTGGTAGTGTGTGCATGTCACGCATGATGCCTTGGTTTCTGGCGGTAGGTAGTGTGTGCATAGCCATGACATCCTGGCTTCAATCTCTAGTGCTTGTATATGCACAGCACACATGAGGCTTGGCTTCAATCCCTACTAGTTGTATGTGGTTTTATGTACTTAGCATGCATGAGGCTCTGACTCCAATCATCTCTAGCACTAACACAAAATTTCTTGGCCTTTTTGGTGATATCATAATCTTATTTTTTAAAAAAAAAAGGCACTCTATTATCTCCTGCATCATGCATTTCAGATACTAAGTAGTTTGTTTTTTAAGTAAATTTCATTTTAGTTTATGTCCATTGGTGTTTTGTCTGCATGTATGTCTGTTTGAAGTTGTCAGATCTTGGAGTTACAGAAAGTTGTTAGCTGCTATGTGGATCCTGGGAATTGAACCTGTGTCCTCTGGAAGGGTGGTCAGTGCTTTTAATCTCTGACCCATCTCTCCAGCCCCAAATAGTAGTTTGTTTACTGCTGAATAGTACTCATTGTGTAAATGTACCACATTCCTTTATCCATTCTTCAGCTGAGGGACATCTAGGTTGTTTCCAAGTTACCCAGGTAGTTGTTTTAAGGCCCATACCTCACCCTTCATACCTGCAAACTTAAGTGGATCATTAACTCATTTTTATTGTTTTTGAGGAAAGAAGCAGGTGTCATCTCTAAGTAGCAAGTATCATTCAAGAGCCAAGTGATGAGCCAGTCATGGTAGTGTATACCTTCAATCCCAATGCTTGGATTGGGAGGCAGAGACCAGCAGATCTGAATTCAAGGTCAGTCTGGTCTACATAGCAAGTTCTAGGTCAGCTAAAATTACAAAGATTCTGTCTCAAGATAAATAGTCTGTGACGCCTCGCAGCAGGCCTCCTGTTGGCCACTTGAATGAATTCACTTGGTGCTCATGATGGCCTAGAAGAGGCGGGGCTGTGGTTTCTATTTCCCAAAGAGGAGGCGCAGCCTTGGGGATGGCTTTAGTTACTGTCATGGTGACACATCATACAGCATATGCATATTTGGAGGAACCTTCACACAGATTTCTGAGGTAGCTGCATCAATTTATGCTTCCACCAGCAGTGAATAAGGACTCCCTTCCCCTGGATCTTCATTAGTCATTCTTTTTCTGGGTGACTGCCATCCTGATTAGGGTGAGAGGGGACTGGGGGGGCAATTTCAATCTTCCCTTGAGTCTTTAAACTCTCTATATGAGATCTCTTCAATTGTTTAGTTTATGCCACAAAACAAGGGTTGTAGGAAACCAGATTAGCCAAAACAACCAATTTTATAGGTATCAGACAAAAACCAAAAGAGATATTTTTTTATGTGCATTGGTGTTTTGCCTCTATGTCTATATCGGGGTGTCAGGTCCACTAGAACCTGAGTTACAAACAGATGTGAGCCGCCATGTGGGTGCTGGGAATTGAACCCAGGTCTTTGGAAGAGCAACCAATGATCATACCTGCTGAGCCATCTCTCTAGCCCCAAAAATAGGGCATATCTTAGGATTGCCAAATTGTTCTGCCATCAAAGGCCACATTGCAGACTCATAAGAAGAAATGTAAGACTGTTTAGCCATCAAACAGATTGGGCTAGTGCCTGATGAGGAACCAAATGTGTCCCATGGTGGCTGGCAACATAACCAGGATTTGCGTGTGTTCACGGCCGCCCATCTGTGTAACTACTTTGAAGGGATTTCTATTCAGATCCTTAGCCTGTTTTAAACTGCCCCTTGATTGGCATTTTTAATTTTTTCTGCGTATGTACACATGCCATGTTGCATATGTGAAGATCAGAACACTTTTGTGGAATAGACTCTGTCCTTCCATGCCTTTTTACATGGATTCCAGGGATCGAACTCGAGTCACCAGGCTTCTGTGACAAATGGCCTTTACCCTCTGAGCCATGGTCTTATTGCTGATCTTACTAGGGTTTTCTTATCTACATCTAGGTCACGTGTTGGACATAACTTTCAGTGTTTTATTTTTATTCTATATATGCATGTGTGTGGAGGTCAGAGGACAACTTCCAGGCATCAGGTCTCTGTCCACTGTATAAGTAAGTCCCATGAATCGAACTTGGGTCATCAGTGACAGCAACAAGCATCATTATCCACTGAGTCATTTTGCTAGCCTTTGAGTTCCTTTGTATTCTTATTTCATTCTTGAGACAGAGTTCCTCAGTATATCCCAGCCCTAGATGGTCTGGAACTCTCTGTGAACTCAAGGCCAAGTCTGGTCTTCATAGAGATCTGTCTGCCTCTGCTTGCCAAGTACTAGGATTAAAGGCATGTACCACCACTGCCTGGCTAAAGTTACTTTTTGGTTATGAGCCTAGCCTTTCACTGCTGAGCCATCTCTCCAGCCCTAGAGTTAACTTTTTTTTTTTTAATTTAGAAGCAATCTTATTTTACATATCAATCCCCTTATTAGAGTTAACTTTTAATGCCAAAACTTTACATGTTATTAATGGGCACCAAGTGGAACAGATCTAAAAAGTGGTCCTGGAATCATATTTGTTACTTTTTTGAGTATAGTTCTCCAACCAAGAGCATTCAGAGGGCAGAACGTTAAATGGTAGTCTGCGCTGGATGTTGTTTAGGAAACTGAGGATCCGTCTGCTGAAGTGTCCCAGATTCTATATCCTAGTGACACACAGGTGCCTAAGGGTGAGAGCTGCAGAGAACTGTCGCTGTGAGGTGGGTTTGGCTTGGTGTGTCCAAGAATGGGAGAAGGTTGTTCATATGACTGAGTTCAGTCATTTGAGTTGGGAGTTTTCAAGATCCTCTGCTGAGCCTGCCCAGCCTCCCACATTGCACACTGTGTTACCAAAGGAATCTACTGTCCACCAAAGCCTGAGCCCTATGATGAAAAGCATATCACCCACCCTCTACTACAACTACACACAACAGTGATCTCTGAGGAAGCTAGATGAGAAAGAACTCAGGATATTTAGGCAGTTACTGAAAGAAAAAGACTCAGGCTTGATAACATGTGAGCTCCCAAGATTAGACATGAATAATGCCACCAATGTGGAACACATAGCCTCTCTCTTGAGTATTACCCTATGACCTGTCTCCTAGGGCATAACCGTTTGTGTCTTTGAAGAGATGAAAGTTGTCATTCTCTCTAAGAAAGCCAAGAATGCAAAAAAATAAGACCTGGGGAAAGGCTAAGGGAGGGGGTGGGGGAAAGACTCACCCCAAGTCTTAAACTTGCCTTGTAGACCAGGCTGGCCTTGAACTCAAAGATCTGCCTGCCTCTGCCTCCAGGACTACAGGGTCTTGGATTAAACGTATGCACTACCATTCCTGGATCACCCCAAATCTATTTTGTTTTTTAAACAGAGCTTCTCTGTGTTGGCCTGGCTGTGCTGGAACTTTCTCTACTCAAACTCACAGAAATCCACCTGTGCCTCCCAAGTAGAGCATACTGGGATTAAAGGCATGTGCCACCATCACTGGCTGTCAGTCACAAATATTAATAGGAATGGAGCACCGATATTCTTTTGGGTCCACCTCTTCTGTGTGAGTCTGAACCACACAGAAATGCAATTCATTGCATCTTCATCAGGTAGAAAATTGCATAGTGCCCCACCTGAACTGGAAATATGGGATGAGAAGTAGGTAGAATCTTCTCTCCTTGGACAGATTGGTTGAAGTTGACAGGATGGGCTCCAGAGTTGACATTACTGAAAGGAATCTGCACATCTTCCCATCCTGGATCTTGGGTTCCATCTCTCAGAATCATAGCTCCTAGAGACAGTATGCAGACCATTGCAAAGGTTTCTGGGAATCGTGTAGAAAGTGGCTGGTGTTTGGTTGTTGAGAACGCTGCTTGGATGATTTTTCCATAGTGATCACTGAACTTGGATTAGGTTACATGGTTACCTCGGGATATGAGAAAGATTATTTTATCAGATGAATTCTCCTCAGCTACAGACTTAAAACTTAGAATAAACAATTTCATAACTGGGCAGATAAACTGATTGTAGAAAATGTAGGAATTGTAGGATTTAGTGGTTCAAGCTTATAATCCCAGCTGACGAAGCTGGGGCAGGGGGACCACAAGTTTAAAGTTCAAATGTGTAATATAGTTATATTAATTATATATTTAATTATATATTGCCTCAAAGTGGGGGGAGGGCAAGCACTGGGAGTAGAACACTTGCCCAAAATTCATCAGTAAGGTGTTAGAGGTGGCTTAGTTGTGAAATGCTTGTTTAGATTCCACCAGTAAAGAGCTTGGGATGTAGCTCAGAGTTAATGTTCATGTGTGTGGAGAATCCCCCAGTGAGGGGCTTGGGTGTGGCTCATTGGTATTGCCCCTGCCTAGAATCCCCCAGTGAGGGGCTGGAGTGTGGCTCATTGGTATTACACCTGCCTAGAATCCCCCAGTGAGGCGATGAAGAGTTGCTTAATGGTAGAGCCCCTGCCTAGACTCCCCAGATTGGATAGTCCTTACCTGACTATCTCAGCTGCTTTACTGTGCTTCTGAGGGAGAAGGGCACCACGGTACCCTAACACAGACTCCTCCGGGCATAAACTGAGCCAAGGCTTGCTTTAATTCCCATCAGTGGTTTGGATATGGGATGTTCTTATCCCCGGCAATTAGAGTGTGACTTGTTAGCAGCGTCCTTTCTTCCTCTCTGTTGCAGAAGGCTCAATGAGTAACCCGGAAGAAGACAGAGAACCAATCCAGAGTGACCAAGGGCCAGATGAGGAACAGGCACCAGGTTTGCAGGCAGGGTGGGGTAGAAACACAGATACACTTAAAGCCACATGGTTTACTATAGTTTTACCTAAAGGATTAGACCCCTGAATTCTTTTGTTTTTTGTTTTGTCAAGACAGGGTTTCTCTGTGTAGTCCTGCCAGTTCCGAAACTAGCTCTGTAGACCAGGCTAGCCTTGAACTCACAGAGATCCACTTGTCTCTGCCTCCTAAGTGCTGGGATTAAAGGTGTGCACCACTACATGGGTAGACCCCTGAGTTCTTGTGTGTGTGCACACAGGATTGGAGCTTGCTTCCCAGCACACATCAGGGAACACATAGCCACTGGCAACTCCAGCTCCAAGAGGTTCAACACCTCTGGTCTCTGCAGGCCCAAGCGCTCACATGTACCCATGCAGACATGCAATTAACAACTGAAGACCTCTTTTTTTAAAAGGGTAGTGTTTCAGGAGGAAAGAAAGCTAAGGTTGACCTCTGACACCCACGTGGGCACGCACACACATAACCTTCCCTTAACCACATACCACATGCATGTGCACACAATTCTACTAAACTGTCTAGATAGAGGTATGGGAGGGTGATTTTGGGCTCCTCAGTTCTACTTAACTAACCTATGTGCTTGTCCTTATACCTCAACTGCCACTGACTTCAATGCTGTTTCTTTCAAGACATGTGATACTCTACATTAAATTGCAAAATTTGGGGACCATGCTTGGTCCCGTTGATTCTACCATGAGCTTTGCAATCATTTTGACAATTGCTTGGAGGTCATCTGGGCTCTTGATATGGATTGCATTCAGTTGCATTGATCTGTGTTTGAGTGTATAGCTAGCTATATTAATAAGGTTGAGTCTTGAGGTAAATTGCTCAGTCACTAAAATGTTTGCTGCAAGGACCCGAGTTCAATTCTCAGGACCCATATTAAAAGGCCAGGTGGAGGGGTATGTGTCTGTAATCCCAGCACTGAGGAGGCAGACACAGGAGGGTCCATGGTGCTTGCTGGCCGGCCAGCCTAGTCACATTGCTGAGAATCAGATTTAATGAGAAACTCTTCAAAAATATGATTAGGGACCAGAGAGAGGGCTCAGCATTTCAGAGCACTGGCCAACCTCCAGAGAACCCAGATTCAGTCTTCAGTACCCCCATGTCAGCTTGTAAGCATCTGTAACTCCAATTCCAAGGGATCTGACCTCATTTGGCCTCGGCAGGCAGAGCATGCACAAAGTACACAGGCATAGCATACAGGTCAAATAGTCATAAAATATAAATATATCTTCACCAGGTGGTGGTGGTGCATGCCTTTAATCCCAGCACTTGAGAGGTAGAGGTAGATAGATCTCTGTGAGTTCTAGGCCAGCCTGGTCTACAGAGCAAGTTCCAGAACAGACTCCAAAGCAATACAGAGAAACCATGTCTTGAAAAACCAGCAGATGGATGATTGGATACATTTTAAAAAACAATTAAGGATGAGAGTGATTAAGAAAAACACCAAAAGTCAATGTCGGGTCCTCATGCATGCACTTGAATGTGCACACAGACCTGCCCACGCGTGTACACACACACAGCATGGACAAGCAACCAGAGGACACACCCCCAAACAAAAGTGACTCCAAATGCAGATACTTCCTAGGCTATCAGTAGAGCTTCCAGACACCCCTAGCTGACATGTGATGAGATTTTTACTGTCTGTCTTGTGCAGATGACCGCAACTGCACGACTTTATGTATACAGCATCAGTGTCATGTGCAGGGCGCGGCACTTCACGCATGCGCAGGGCGCAGCATTTCTCAGTTCTCCCCGCCCTCCAGCTCTTGCCTTCTTCCTGCCCCGTCTTCCTCTGTGTGCCCTAAGCCCGGGTGGGGCAGCAGACACAGATGATGATCCGTTTTGAACAACAAGCATAATCATGTTGGATGGTTTTGTCCTCTTTTACAGAAGCCTTGCAAGCTGAGGAAAAAGATGCAGCCGCAGAGACGTGTGAGCAAGGAGAAGAAAGTATGTATTTGTGCCAACCTCTAAAGAAGCTGCGCAAGAGCAGCACATGGCATTCAGATAGGAGGTGGGGTCCTGGTGTCACGGGCGCGTCCCCCTGAACCCGCCTTGTGAGTGTCGGGGTGAACATCATGAACAGAGCCGGGTGATTCAAGTTCAAGGCAATTTATGTTGGGTGGCCATTTATTAAAAGTTCAAAATAAACCATAATTCCTGCAAACTGGGGTACAAGCACAATCTTATTGGAGTTATTGTAAACACAGCTTAGAATAATAATCTACACTGGGCAAGATTAGAAGTCTTATTTGGTTTTGAATTTGCATACGAAGTGGTGGATTTTTGTTGTATTGTTTTTACCTTAGTGGTTTTCCCATGTGTTACACGTCATGGGTTTTGCTATGATATTTTCATACGCCTAGCCCTTCTTCTGCTTTGACTGTTAGCCACCCAATGTGTTTGATCAGGGTTGCATACAAGAGCTTAGGTGAGGGCTGGAGAGATGGCTCAGAGTTTAAGAGCACTGGCTGCTTTTCAAGGGTCCAGAGTTCAATTCCCAGCAACCACATGGTGGCTCACAACCCATCTACAGTGAGATCTGGTGCTCTCTTCTGGCATGCAGACAGAATGGTGTATACATAATAATCTTTTAAAAAGGGGGGGTGGCAAGAAGTGGTGGTGCACACCTTTAATCCCAGCACTCCTGAGGCAGGCGGGCGGGTCTACAGAGCGAGTTCCAGGACAGCCATGGCAGTTACAGAGAAACCCTGTCTCTAAACACCAAAGAGCATGGGTGAGAGATACAGCATTGAAAGATGATCTCTTTGCCCCAACCACCATTAACTGCCTATAGGCCCTCAAGGGGGCAGGGCCTTGCCCATTCCAGGCTGACCTCAAACTCTATGTGTCGTTGAGGATGATCTTGTACATTTTAATCCTCCTGCCTCCACCTCTGGAGTGATGGAATTACAGGTGTGTTATGGGGCCACAGCTAGGAATTGAACCCGTGGCTTCACGCATGCTAGGCAAGCGTTGGGTCGGCTGAGCCACATCCCCAGGCACATTGTTTTTCATGGCCTTGGTTCTGGTCCTCTTCCCCCAACAGTGCACATTTCCCTGCCATGTCACGTGTACTGTTACACTCCTTCTTCTTCTCTCTTCTTCCCTTCTCAAGGTCTCTTTTCCAGTTTTACCACACACGCGTGCACGCACGCACACGCACACACACACAAAGGAAAAAGATAAGCATTGTCTTTCTGGGTCTGGCGCATGCATCTCACCTAACATGGCAATTGCCAGTTCCATCCATTCTTACTGAATGAGCAAAACTCCGATGTACTTTTTTTTTTCATTCCTTGTGCTGACTTGTGATATTCCATTGCGAGGCTTGGCGTACCTGCAATCCCATCACCCAGGAAAGGCATTGCTCAGAATAAGCCAGACGATGGATGGATGTAACGAAGTTGGTAGAGTGCTTGTGTAGGATGCATAAAGCCATGGGGTTCAGTCCCCATGATGAGACTGGGGACATGTACACACCTGTAATCCCAGCAGTTGGGACACAGAGACAGGAGGACCAGACGTTCAAAGTCACCGCAAATAGCAAATAGGAGAGTCTTGTCTCAAGACAGGGACATAGCCGGCTGACTTGCAGCAAGAGAGCGAGGCATAATCTGATTCATTGTACAGATAATAGTGAACAATTAGAGACAAGGAGTATATTCATCACCTTAAACTCCCATTCACTTCTTTACTCCATGCTGATTTAGAACCCTCCCCTCTATTTTGAGATGGCTTCTCCCCTCTATTTTGAGATGGCTTCTCCCCTCTATTTTGAGATGGCTTCTCCCCTCTATTTTGAGATGGCTTCAGCCACTGTTGGACTCATCCCTGCAGATATGAATGTTGGTTTCAACTAAAAAAATGCGATTTTGTTGAAATCCTGTTTTCCTTTGGCTCTCTTACCTGACTTCAAACCATCCAGGTGGCCTGCACGTCTATAAGGCCCACATGATATCGAAACTGGGCACAAGTGTGGAAGCGTGCTACGACGACCCAGAGATGCGAGTGCTGTCTGAGGCTTTTAAGCCTCACAAGCGAGCCTTCCGCCCTCACACTGTTGTCTTACATGGAAAGCCAGGAGTTGGAAAGTCGGCTTTGGCCAAAAGCGTCGTCCTGGGCTGGGCAAAGAATAAAGTCTACCAAGACATTTCCTATGCCTTCTTCTTCTCTCTCCGAGAAATAAAATGGACCCAGAAGAGTAGTTTGGCACAGTTGATTTCCTGGGAGTGGCCAGACTCCCAGGTTCCAATGGCAGAGATCATGTCCAAACCCGAAAGGCTCTTGTTTGTCATGGATGACTTTGACAGTCTGGAATCTGCTGACCTGCAGGAGGATGTGAGGCTCTCTGGAGATTGGGAGGATGAACAGCCCATATACGTCCTGCTGTACAGCCTCCTGAAGAAGGCCCTCCTACCCCAGTCCTTTCTCCTGATCACCACCAGAGACACTGGCCTAGAAAAGCTCAAGTCCATGGTGCTGTCCCCCCTCTACATACTGGTTGAAGGGCTGTCTGCAACAAGGAGGACTCAGCTAGTCCTCGAGAACATCTCTGATGACCATCGGAGAAAGCAAATCATCCGTTCCGTGATAGATAACCACCAGCTCATTGACCACTGTCAAGTCCCCTCCGTCTGCTCGCTGGTCTACGAAGCCTTGAAGATACAGGAGAAGCTGGGAGAGAGAGACGCCTCAGTCTGCCAGACTCTCACCAGTTTGTACACCACCTTGGTGTTCCACCAGCTCACCACGAGAAAACATTTCCGTGGCTGCCTCAGCCAGGAAGAGCGAGGCACCCTGATGGGTTTGTGCCGGATGGCGGCCGAGGGAGTGTGGGGCAAGAAGTCTGTGTTCTCCGATGACGACCTGCAGATGTACGGCCTGAAGGAGTCGGAGGTCTCCGCCCTCTTCCACATGGGCATCCTCCAGGTCAACCACGGCGCCGAGCGGAGCTACACTTTCTTTCACCTCAGCCTGCGGGACTTCTGTGCAGCCTTGCATTATGTTTTGGAAGAGCTGGGGAAATGCAATCAGGGCTTTTCCTTCATTAAAAACCTGAGGAGCCTCACGGAGATGAAGCGAACCGACTTCAACAGTCACCTCATCGGGATGAAGCGTTTCTTATTCGGCCTCGTGAACAAGGACACGATGAGGACCCTAGAGGTTCTGCTCGGATGCCGCCTGTCCCCTGTTGTGAAGCAGATGCTGCAGCGCTGGGTCTTTGTGCTAGGTCGGCAGGTCAATGCCACCAGCCCGACGGATGTCCTGGATGCCTTCCACTATCTCTTTGAGTCTCAGGATGAAGACTTCGTCTGCTCGTCTCTGAAGAGCTTCCAAGAAGTGGTGATTGTGATTAACCAGAGGATGGACTTAGTAGTATCTTCCTACTGTCTCCAGCACTGTCAGAACCTGAAGACGCTCCGGGTGGATGTCAGAGACATCTTCTCGGCGGAAATGAACACTGAGCTGTGCCCTGTTGTCCCCCAGCAGTGAGTATGGCGTGAGCTTCCTCCGAAGCCAATTAGTAAATTTTGTGTGGTGTTGTGTTGGGCTTGGAGGTGGTGTTCAGAAATATTCAGGGTACCAGACTGCTTCTAAAGGATGATTCACTTACTAATGGGACCTGACCCATGTCTCCTGGGTAATCCCTTTTAAAGCACTGAATTGCACACTGGGAATATAGCTCAGCTGGTAGCTACATCTCTGGAGACTGCTTGCCTAGCATGAATGAAGCCAGGGGTTCAATCCCCAGCACTGCATAGACTGGGTGGGGTGTGGTACCCACCTGCAAGCCCAGCGCTCAGGAGGTAGAGCTGTCAAGCTAGGTTCCACCAGTAAGACAACCAGAACAGCCATACTAATAATAAAACGCATAAAAGGGAGATTTTTTCACAGTGGCCACATTGGAAAAGGGGACAAATATCAAAGGTCAGTAGGTCTGGATTGAGCCCTCTCCCGATGGCCCATCTTTTGGCTCCTGAAGTCAGGGTGAAATACAGGGGATTATGGTCCAGGGACATTATATCTAAGTAGTTCTCACGGAGGCGAGACCCCTGCCCACCACTGACTCATGGTCTTGCCTCCAGTCTCTGCAGCAAGATGGTTTGCTCTGTGTGGAATCTCTTCCGTTCCAGCTGGCGCCAGGCCCCGGCGGACTTTGCCTTCTCCTACTGAGATTTCCGGGTGGTTGGCAGTTTCTTTGGGGTGTGTTTCCAAAGTCTGATAGATTGATGGATGGATTAATGGACGAAAGCATCTAGGCTGGAGAGAGGGCTCTGAGGTTGTTGCTGTTCTTCGGGAGATGGAATGATCATATTATCCCCACAGTTTAGAAAATACCCGGGCCAGAGAGATGGCTCGGCAATCAAGAGCACTTGCTGCTCCTCCACAGGACCTGAGTTTGGTGCCTGGCATCATATTGGGTGGCTCATAATTGCCTCTTAATTCCAGCTCCAGAGAGATCTGATGATCCCTTCTGGCCCGCACGGGCACATGCACACACATGTGCTACCCACACATAGACACGCGCTCCCACGCATGCACGGAGACACACACTCATAATTTTAAAAAATAAAAAGCTTATCATTTTTTAATGATACAGCTGCGCCATTTTACCACTGGGGGCGCTAGAATTTAAGTCAGCATGGGACTGGGAGGGCTGAAGGCTCCTGATCAGGCTAGCATACCCGCAGGGGATGTTGAAGTGTTTGGGGGGGGGGGGGACGAAACTGGACGTCCTGTAGCGCACACCAGGCGGCTGAGCTTGCTTTCTTTTCTCAGCTGCCCTGCTGTGGTAGTCACTGGTGTTCAGATCCGCCTGTTCAATCCCCTCCCCCCCCACCCTTTTTTTTCCCCTCCCTGGCTGACCCAGGATGCAGGGTAAGCCCCCCATCATAGAGCGGTGGGAGGAATTCTGCTCTGTCCTGGGCACCCACCCAAAACTGAAGCAGCTGGACTTGGGCAGCAGCATCCTGAACGAATGGGCCATGAAGATACTGTGCCTGAAACTGAGGAACACGGCCTGTAAAGTACAGACTGTGACGTAAGTGCCACCCGCTCTGCTATGAGCAATTCCTGCCCGTGACCCCTCCTGGCAGGATAGGGTTCCTCTATAAAACCTGAGGGGAGATGTGTCCTGAGAGCATAAACGCTGTAAAAGATGCATGAACAGGACGGGTGCGGGCTGGAAGACCTCTTAAAGAGGGTGCATAGGTTTGAGGCAGCCTTAATTGCTGTGGGTTGTGAGGGATGTGTAGGAGTTGGTTAGTAAGGGAAGACTATAAGAGAGGACATTGGGTAATAAGACTTATGAGGAAACAGGTCAAGGCGCACGATTTACATAGCTCTCTCTAATCACTCCGATGCCTTTGAGCTAGTGGATATTGCACGAATCTGTGAACAGCTAATTGCTAAATCTATCAAGAGTATCAGTTTGGGAAAGAAACTTGATATGTAATCCCCTTTTAGAAGAGGCAGTTTGGTGGCAGAGGAGAAGGACCTGGAGGAATGAATTGAAGGAAAGAATGAAACTCGGGGATGAAATCAATAAAATAGAAACATCATCATCAATAAAAACAATAAAAAGAATCAATGAAGCAAAGAATTGGTTCCTACACTAGCTGGTGGCCATTCAACTCTTTATTAAACCAAGCACAGTAATATATCTTCACACACACAGTGTACAAACCTCCCACAACACAAGAGAAAGAATTGGGATGTGACTCTGTTCCTCCTCCCTGTCTCTCTCCCCCTCCCCCTCTCCCCCTCCCCCCTCCCCCTCTCCGCAGGTTTAAGAATGCAGAGATAGCCTCCGGTCTTCGGTATCTCTGGATGACCCTCATTAGCAATCGGAACTTAAAATACCTCCACCTGGGGAACACTCTCATGAAGGAAGAAGACATCAAGTTAGCCTGTGAAGCATTGAGACACCCAAACTGTTCCCTGGAAACTCTGAGGTGAGCCTCGGTTATGATTATCACTGTGTGGCTTGTACTTGAGAATCCGGAATAATTTCTAGAAAGTTGCACAAAAAAAAAAAATTAAGAGGATTAGGGAGAAGGCAAAGTCCTGGAGGAAGGTGGCCATGCTGATGTGGCTTACACTGTCATTGGTAGTGGGAGAGCCATGTGCCGGCAAATGGAGCATAAAGATCGTAGATTTTTGAGGCATAAATGCTGCACCCCAGTGGAACATTCAGTGTTTGTAAAGATTACGAAACGGGACCTGACCGGTGAGATGACCCGGTGAGATGCCACTAAAGCCGGTGACCTGAATTCGATCCCCAGGACCCAGGAGAGAGAGAAATGACCCCTAGGAGTTGTCCCCTGACCTCATGCACACTTGAGTAAATAAAAAAGATTGAAAGCAATATTGCATGCGGGGGAGGGCAGTGTGTACCTGGATGGCTGAGTCGGGGGGGGGGGGGGGGAAATGGTGAGTTTCAGAGGCTGACCTGGTTTGCCTCGAAAGCGCCTGTCTTCAGGCAGAGTGGTGTAGGGGGCATCTGCAGATGTCTAGAATGTCTAGGAAGTATCGCTTTGAGTGCCCCCATCACAGCACAAAGCCAAGCATAGTGCTTGAACCTGAAAGCCGAGCTCAAGGCCGCAGAAGCCGGAGCTTGGGATCATCCTTGGCTATTTATTTACTTAACGATGTTGAGGCCAACCTGGGCTATGTGAGGCCTTGTCTCAAGAAGAAAAGAAGCCATCACGTGCAACCTTGGGAAGTTTCTTTGGGTATGTCAGACAGCGAACTTGCTCGGTGAGAGCCGATGCGGGCCATCTGTCTGTCAAGTCATGCTGAGGAGGTGTTAACTTTATCCTTTTGTGTTGGATTTTGTTGACTAGCTTTGTGTGTGCACATGTGCATTGACACGCTTATGCCACTGCGTGTGTGTGAGTGCATGCATGAGCGTGTGTCCGTGTGTATGTGTGTGTCCGTGTGCGCGTGTGTGTCCGCGCGCGTGTGTGTGTGTGTGTGTGGTCAGAACAACCCATGGGAATGGGTTCTCTTCCCATTGTGTGGGTCCTGGGATCAAACACCGGTCTCAGTCTTGGTGGCAAGCCCCCCGATCCCTGAGTATCCTCACCAGCCCAGCACTTTTCTGTCACTTAGCAAACAATAGACAAACTGTTGTATCTTTGGGGGTGTGGTGTGCTGGTTAAAAGTGTGGGCCGGCTACTAAAAGGAAAGGGGAAACTATTGGGTGTACTCACACCTCCAGTTCCCAAGGAGCTGAGTCGAGCGTGTGCGTCACCCTGGGTTACCCAGGAGGGATGGGAAGAAAATGTCTCTGGCTGTCTGTCTCTGCAGATTGGACTCCTGCGGGTTGACCCCAGACTGTTACGTGATGCTCTCCAACCTCCTTCTCTCAACCAGCAGCCTAAAGTGTCTCAGCCTGGCGGGAAACAGGGTGGTAGAAAACAGCATGAGGTGGCTCTGTGACTCCCTGAATAGCACCAAGTGTGTCCTGCAAAGGCTGATGTGAGTCTTGCTTCCTCCCACTCTGTGACTGTGCTGAGTCTGAGATGTGCATGGGGTGGGGCCCCATGGCCTCATGGAAAAGCCCTGGCTTTGGGGCATCAGAGAAAGCCCGTTCGTTCGATCATAGCCCCTCCTGTGGAAAGGGAGACCAATGGGAGTCGGCCCAGGACCTCTGTGCTGACAGAGCTCCTTTGGAACACGACCCCCACATGAAGAAAGTGGGTTACTTCACACTTGACTCCGAGGTTAGATATAACCAACTCAGCCAGTGACTAACGACTTCCTCCTTACCTGGCCAAGCCCAAAACAGCACAAACAGGGTCGGCACATGGTGTAGTTATATAGGATGTAATCCTAGCACCCAGGAGGCTAAGACAGAAGGGTCATGGCAAGTCTAGGTGGTCCTGAACACCATAATGAGACACACACACACACACACACACACACACACACACACCAAGGAAATAGGAAGACGTGTTAGGCGGGTGGACCCTGGGGTAAAGCGCATGTAGGACAAGCATGAGGACCAGAGTTTGGATCCCCAGAGCCGCCATGTATTACCATATCCAGATAGGCACTAAAGACGCAGAGACGGGATCTGCAGAGCAAGCCGGCTTGCCGGGCTAGCCAAATTGGTATGCTGTGGCGGGCTCAGTGAGAGACTCTCCTTCCGTATCTAAGTCGGAGAGGGGTCGAGCAAGGTGCTCAGCGTCACCCTCGGGCCCCGGCAAGCATGCATGCACAGATATTTCCATCCGCACACGCGTGTGCATCCACAGACTCCCACATGTGCATACATGCACACAACACACGCCAAAAAGAGGCAGGGTGTCCTAACGGAATGCCATCCCAAATGCCAATCAGACAGCCCTGGCCTCCTGTGGAGACAAAGGCGCCAACTGAGGGACCCGTCGAAGAGTGTTGTTTTGTAGACGGACTCGTACATGGAAACCTGGGGTAGGGTGGTCCCGTGTCCCTTATGTGAATGATCCAAAGAAGGTGGGTTGTTAACTGGTCAAATTGTCATTAGAGAGGACAGGGACAAGGTAGTAATTATGGAATCCCTTATTCAAATCGTAATGAGAGTGTCCGGATCTTGTTGGAATGACCACTGAGGCAGTTTTAGGGTAAGTTACTCATTCCTGGAAGAACTATCCTCAGCTGGCAAAACAGAACATCACACGCGTCCATGGCTGCTGCCCAGAACTGTGTGCTGGCACCTGTCACAGCTCTAGTTGACTTCAAAGGACTGCCAGCACCAAGGACCAAACAGTGTGTCACCCTTTAAAGGCCGGAGGCAAGGCTAGAAAGATGGCTCCGAAGTTTAGAGTACTTGCTGCTCTCGTACAGGACCTGGATTTGGTTCCCAGCACTCGTATTAGATTGTACACAACCAACCACCTGTAACTCCAACTTCAGGGTCTCCATCGCCCTCTCCTGGCCTCTGCAGGCACTGCACCCACACACATAGACACGTAAATAAAAATCTCACAGGCTCTAAGCAAAAAAGAAATCACATGTGATGTCAACATAGTTGCTGGACATTGGTCCAATCCACCATTGGGGTCTCTGCTCCCCCCCCAGAGCAGAGACCCCATTCCCCTCCAATTAGTGATATTGAATATCTGATCTATGGCGTCGTAAGAACTCTAGGTATGTTAATGCAGTTAGTTTGGGGGACTACAGAGCTTTTGTTTTCGATTCTGGCAGCTTTCCTTTTTATGGCTAAGTATGAAGTAAATGGATTACACATTGTCAAATGTTATGTCAAAATGTATTCACATAGCTTGCACAGTCAAATCTATTGTCACACAAAGGACTTCTCCCCTGCCTTGGATTTATATTGTTCAGAGAGAGGGGGAATTAACAAAGACCAAACCTAGGCCAGCAAGACATGGCTCAGCAGGTAATCGATGCTTACTGCCGTCCCTAGCAACCTGAATCCAGCCCTCCCCTCCCCCATTCACACAGCAGAAGAGAGAATGGACAGTCACCAAGTTGCCCTCGGGACTTCCACATGCAAGCCCGGCACACATGTGCCCTCACACATGAAGACAGAGTTTTGTACATGAATATTCTAGATGTACTTGATTCTGTAGGTATCTGTACAGTGGGACAGAGGAACTGGAGTTGTAGGTGGTTGGGAGCCATCCAGTATAGTTCCAGGGCCTGAACTCGGGTCCTCTGGAAGAGCAGCAAGCTCTCTTAACCATTGAGCCATCCCTCCAGACCATACATGTGTCTACTGTCTGTTCAGCACATTTATACTCATACACCCATATTCCCTTCCTCGCCCATACCTCAACGCACCGTTCCCGTTTATTGTCCTGGACACCTTCATTTCTATTTTCATGACTTTCATGCATACACAGTTATATGTATCTGCATACAACTTGGACTGGCTGGTGAGATTGCCACCAAGCCATGGTGATCTTAGCCTAGGTCCTCGAAGCCAGGCGGTAAGAGTAAACCAATTCCTTTCCGTTGCGCTCTGGCTAACACTCTGTGCCCCCATGCATGGACATAATAAGTAAAATGTGCTTTTTAAAAGTGTTGAGTCTGGCCAGGCAGTGGTGGCGCACGCCTTTGAACCCAGCACTTGGGGAGGCAGAGGCGGGCGGATCCCTGAGTTCCATGGTTCAGCTGTCGTGAGTAGTGCTGTGGTAGCCGCAGGTGCGCAAGTGTGGGGGAGGGGGACATGAGAACCGGCCTCACTGGTGGCTCGCTCTTTGCAGACTGGACAGCTGTGACCTCACACCTGTCAGCTGCCACGTTCTGGCCTCGACCCTTCTCTACAATCGGACCTTGACGCACCTGTGCCTGTCAAACAACAGCCTGCGGACTGAAGAAGTGAGACACCTGTGTCAGTTCATGAGAGACTCGGATTGTGCACTGCAGCGACTGATGTGAGTCTGGCTCAGTTCTCTGGGGGGGGGGGAGACATCAACAGCCTTTAGGCCCCATGGGTTATCAGTTCTAAAAGGGGATGGTGCGGGTGTCGACCAGGCCGATGGTGTGTGCGAGGAACACCTCCTTTTCCGTTTGCTGGACGATCACGCCCCGACGAAAAAGCAACTTAAAAGAAGAAAGGGGTTTAGTTTAGCTGATGGCTCCAGAGGGACAGAGTCCAGCATGGTGGGGGAGGGGAAGACTTGGCAACAGTGAGGACAAACAAGATGGCGTGAGCACGTTTTTACACACACGGGAAGCGGAAAGGACGGGAAGTGAGGTGAGGCGCACAGCCCACCGCCAGTCACATGCTTCCTCCAACAAGGCTCTAACTCTTAATGGTTGCACAGTGTCCCTAAAGAGTGACCCCCCCAACTGGGGACAAGTGTTCAAACAAGAGCCATAGGACATGTTCTATTCGGCTCATCACACCCGGCATGTTTAGGGCTCTGGTCCTAGGGCCCTCGTGGTTACAAATACCATTTCCTTATTGCTACACGTGTGTGTGTGTGTGTGTGTGTGTGTGTGTAAGATGATTCTAGGCTTTTATTACATCAATATGTATTTTTATGGGGGTGTGGATGAGTGCCTCAACCCACACAGGAAACTCGGGGTCCCTGGGATTGAACTCAAATCCTTAGGCTTGGCTGCCTAAGATATCATTGTCATCTCGTCAGCCCTCAAGACTTCATCTACATGTAATCTTTGGGGTGTGTGTGCACGTGCCCACATAGGTGTGTGTGGGTGTGTGTATGTGTGTGTGTGTGCACGCGCGCGTGTGCACGTTCCCACATAGGTGTGTGGGTGTGTGTGGGTGTGTATGCACGTGCCCACATAGGTGTGTGTGCGCACAGATGTGTACACACGCAAGTGGAGGGCAAGGGTTGCGTCGGTGTCTTTGATCAATCAACTCTCCGGCTACTATAAGAAGGCAGGGTCTAGCTTGCTAATTCAGCTAGACGAGCTAGCCAGCCAGCTCAGTGGATCTCCTGCCTCAGTTTCCCGTCCCCTGAGAGTCGCCAAGCCAAACCCCCTGTATTTATGTGCATAGCTGGGTTCCGAACTCAGGTCCCTGAGCTTGCGGGGCCAACACTTTCCCCTTCGACCCATCTCTCCAGCCCCTCGTGTTTGTTTTTTAATGTAAATGCTATATCAAACTTGGAGTCTTCACGCATGCTAGGCAGGCAAGCTCTCTACCGACTCAGAAGTAGCCTGCAGTCCAGCCTAGGCCATTTTTTAACAACTGAGTCGCCACCAGAAAGCTCAAAAACTCAACACACGTGACCCTAAATACACACCGAAAAGACGATTTTGTTCAGTTCTGTACCGCCAGGTACAGAACGTAGGGCTGGAGATGGAAATACCTCCTGTGACTGTGCACATGTCAGAGGGGACCCGTCACTGCCATTGGTGTTGATTTCACGGGTTACTAATAGGATTCTGGGAGATGTAGGAGAGAGGAGTCAAGAGGTAGGCCATGGGAGGTCCGGACCCTCTCTCTCTCTCTCTCTCTCTCTCTCTCTCACACACACACACACACACACACACACACACACACACACACACACACACACAAACCCTCTGCATGCATATGGGTGGTAGGAAAAGTAGCAGTCGGTTGCCTTCTTCCACCATGTGGTTCCCAGAGAATGAACTCAGGTTGAAGTTCTCGGGCTTGACCACAAACACTTTTACCTGCTCAGCCATTCTGGCTGCCTGGTCAGGGTTCTACAGGGTTCTACTGTCTTTCACTGTGTCCCAGTGTTGATAATTATCCTAATAATTGCCAAGTCCTTTTGTTCGAATTAGGGTTTTGCCTGCATGAAGTTATTCCATTCGCTGGAACTTAACTTGCAGAGGGTTGTGAGCTGACATGTGGGTGCTGGGAATTGAACCCGGGTCCTCCGGAACAGTAGCCAGTGCTCTTAACCTCTGAGCCATCTCTCCAGCTCCCTACTGCCAAGTTCTTTACTGCTTGAGGCTGAGAGCAATGGTCGGTGTAAATATGCGCCCCCATACTACAGAAGAGTAAACTGAGGCAGAGAGGATTCGCTCACCCGAGGCCATGTGTGCTATGTGTGTGCGCAGTGCCCACCCTGTCTTCCCATTTGTGTCCCCGCAGACTGAACCAGTGCAACCTCAAAGGAGATGCCTATGGCTTCCTGGCACTGATGCTCTTCAGCAACAGGAAGCTGACACACCTGAGCCTGACCATGAACCCCGTGGAGGATGGCGGGATGAGGCTCCTGTGTGACGCCATAAAGCAGCCCACTTGTCACCTCCAAGAGCTGGAGTGAGTAGACGGCGGTGGCTGCAGGTCATCTCTACCACCCAGGTTTCTGGAAGGCGGGAGAGACAAACGGGCGAGGAGACACAAGAATCCAATCTGATTCTAGGGCTGAGTGCTCGGCTTTCTGGGACTCACACTTGCTGAGGGAAGCGGTGTGTGGACAGTCAGATGGAGGAGGGAATGGCCGAACAGAGCCCTGAGGCAGGATTATGTCATCAGGGCCACCCTTGATCCCTGAAAGTCTGATCATTTCTGCAGAGATTATTTGGTTTGGCTTTTGGTTGGTTGCTTGGTTGGTTGGTTTTGCTTGTTGTTTGTTGTTTGTTGTTTTGTTGGTTTGGGTTCCGTTTGTTTTTAGTGCTCCAGGAATGGAGCCGCTGAGCCACACCTCCAGCCCCTCAATAGAGAACTCTAGGCAGGGGCTCTACCACTGAGCCACGCCCCCAGCCTGTTACATTGTTACTCTTCCAAAGGTGCGTCAAGTCATCCATACCCACTGCATTTTCCCCTTCCGTTCATGGTATCTCTCTCCCAGAGTAACGCCCCACCCACTCCACACCATTCATGAGGAGAGATAGGAAGGCCGTCGGGATGGAGAGACACTTTGTGGATATAGCGCCTGCTCAGCAAACATGGGGACCTGCGTTCAGATGTGCAGAATTCATGTAGAAGTCCCTGCACCTGCCTGCAACCCCAACACCTAGGAGGAGGCAGTCAAGCAGGTCCCAGGGGCTCACTGGACAGCAAGTCTCTCTAAGAATGACAAGTGTGAGGCATAGAGAAATAGAGGCGTGGCCAGGCAGTGGTAGTCCCAGTCTTGGGAGGTAGAGGCTGTCAGATCTGAGAGTTCAAGGCCAGCCTGATCTACTGAAAGCAAGTTACAGGACAGCCAGGAATGTTGCACAGAGAAACCCTGTCTCAAAAAACAAGAGAGAGAGAGAGAGAATACCTGATGTCCATCTCTGGACTCCACACTGTCATGCATGGTGTGAATATACCCATACCCACCTATACATACCAACACATGTATCACAGAATAAAGACCATGTCTCTTTAAATTATATACACACACACACACACACACACACATATATATACACACACATATATATATATGAGTGAGGGGGTTTATGGGCAACAATGCCCACATGGAGGTCAGAAGACAACTTGCAGGGGTCAGTTCTCACCTTCGACCATGTGGTTCCAGGGGATCAAACTCAGGATCACCCCTCGTGACCATCCTGCTGTGACCCCAAGGCAATCAATCTCGTGGGAGACAATAAAGCAGCTACTCTGAATGCTTCCGGATGTTATCCCCCCCCCATAGTCCTTCCCCACTGGAGCCATGGATGTCCTGTGTCTCTTGCAGACTGGTGGACTGCCAGCTCACGGAGGACTGCTGTGCAGATCTGGCCTCTATGATCACTAAGAACCAACACTTGAAGAGCTTGGACCTGGGTAGCAACGCCCTGGGTGACGGCGGAGTCATAGCCCTGTGCAAGGGACTGAAGCGAAGCAGCAACTCCCTGAGGAGGCTCGGGTAATTTCCTGGGGTCACCTCTCTGAGGGGCTGAGCTCAGAGGAGATGGTGGGAGGGGCCTGAGCATGGCATCAGGGTGGTGGTGTGACCTCAGCGACCTCAGGGGAGTCATGGGTCTGGGTGTCGGGGTGTATCCATGCAGAACCTTCAGATACTCATTGAGCTGCCTCTCTGCGGTAGGCATGATGCTGGGTACTAGGCGGTGGCGATACAGACTACTGTGACCTCAGCGGTGCAGCAGATAGGCTCTAGCAGGAAGAAGAAACCCAAAGCAGTCAGTGGTCCTTAAGTCAGCAGTGGTCCTTAAGACTTAGTATCTCACCCACCTGGGAAGCCTGTTAGAGCCCCGTGCTACCCAGATGTGGCGGCTCCCGCCTGGCATCCAATAGGATGAAGTGGGAGGATCAGACTGGGCTAAATTGTGAGGATCTGTGAGGTCGTAACACACGTGGGTGCACACGCACACTCAAACACCCACAGACACATATGATAACAAATAACTAAAAATAGAAGTTAAATTTTTTTAACCTAGAATATGGGTAAAGCTACCCAGCAACCCGAGCTCATCTCTGGGGTTCAAATGGTAGAAGGAGATTGCCAGCTGCAGTACATTGTCCTTTGATCTCTGCATGTGTACCAAGAGCAGGCATGCAAACACAAAACAAATCGGTGTAACTTTTTAAATACCGGAGCACCCTGCGTTACCGCTTCATTTTCTCTCCTTAGAGGTGCACTCTCTTCTGTGCGGCCCAAGTGGCCTGGATCTGAGGCTCTTCCTGACTCAGCTTTTTGAGTGTGAGGATTTACAGGAGTGGGTAGCTCCGCGGTTGCCCAATCTTCATATTTAAAATTTACCGTATGTGCACATGCATGCGTGTGTGCCGGTTTGTCTTTCTTTGCCTCACAAGCATGTTTGTGCCCACCAAAGCCAGAAGGAAAGCTTCAGATCTCCTGGAGCCAGAGTTACAGGCTGTTGTCAGCCACCTAATGAGACTGCTGGGAACCAGACCCCAGTCCTCGGCAAGCGCAGCAGAGGCTTTTAACCACTGAGCTGTGTCTCTTGTCAATGGTATTCCCTGGCATGCTGCTCTTCTTGGAATACAGCCCTAAGGTTTTTATTGCTGTATATTCATCCTACATAGTACTGGCTTTCACAGGGACACTTTTTTTTTTTTTGGTTTTTCGAGACGGGTTTTTCTGTATTGCTTTGGAGCCAGTTCTGGAACTTCCTCTGTAGACCAGGCTGGCCTCGAACTCACAGAGATCCTCCTGCCTCTGCCTCCCAAGTGCTGGGATTAAAGGTGTGTGCCACCACCGCCAGGCCTTCACAGGGACATTTTCACGCAAATATATAATGTACTTTGACCAAGTCCCCAGGGCATACCTCTGAATCTCCCCTCTCACGCCTCTCCCGGTCCCATCCCATTCATGTTCTTCAGTCCCTAGACAACCTCACTTCTACTTGAGTGGTGCATATGACTTTATCTACTTACAATCTGGGCCCCAGGAACAAGAGAAAACATGTAATATTTGTCTTTCCAAGTCTGACTTAAGCCAGATGGTGGCGGTACACACCTTTAATCCAGCACTCGGAAGGCAGAGGCAGGCAGATCTGAGTTCGAGGCTAGCCTGGTCTACAAAGCGAGTTCCAGGACAGGCTCCCAAGCTACAGAGAAAACCCAATATAGAAAAACAAAGTCTGACTTAACTCATTTAAAATTCAAACCTCCAGTCTTACCCATTTTTCTAGAACACTAACCCTTTACCATATGAAGCTTTCGGCTTCATCTCATATGTCATACATAGTCTCTGCTAAGCTCTGACCATCTGGACATGGTTAAGGACCCTCCCACTAGAGCAGTATCCATGCAGCTTCTTGGGTGTCACGTGCATGTCTGAACATCCTGCCTCTGTATGCATTTCCCAGTCGTTTGAGTCTCTGGTGCAATACCACTTTGTTTTTTTGGGGGGGGGGATTTCTAGACAGGGTTTCTCTGTGTGGCCCTGGCTGTCTTGGAACTAGCATTGTAGGCCAGGCTAGCCTCAAACTCAGATCCACCTGTCTCTGCCTCCTGAGTGCTGGGATTAAAGGCATTCGTCACTACCATCCGACTGGGTTGAAACTCTTATGGGCTGAATGGAGGGCCCATAACTGACCAGTTCTCCCTTGGACCTCTGGGTAGGTTGGAGGCATGCGGGTTGACTTCTAACTGCTGTGAGGAGCTGTCATTGGCCCTTTCTTGGAACTCGAGCCTCACCAGCCTAAACCTGCTAAAGAACGACTTCAGTACATTGGGGATGTTGAAGCTGTGTTCTGCATTCCTGCATCCTACCTCTAATCTGTGGATAATTGGGTAAGTCCCTACCGATCATCCCCTGAGACATTCAGGTGACTGACAAGTTACTTGGAGAAGCCGCTACAACTGAACAGTAGTTGAGATCCATGGCTCGGCAACTCTTTTTATCTAAAGAGTTCCCAACCTTCCTCATGCTGTGGCCATTAAATACAGTCCCTCGTGTTAAGGTGGTCCCGCAATCATAAAATTATTTCACTGATGCTTCATAAGTGTAATTTTGCTGCTGTTGTGAATCATAACGTGAACATCTGACATTCCGCGGGATATCTGATATGGGATCCTAAAAGGGTTGGGACCCACAGGTTGAGGACGGTTGGCAAGAGTTCCAGTACAGCCAAGATTACACAGTGAGACCCTGTCTCAAAAGAACAAAGTCAAGACAATTTGTCCACTCAGGTTTATAGTGTCATTCTTCAAGAAAGGGAGTTTTGATGCACGCTCCCGACTGGGTTAGATACAAGGACTTTCCCTTAAGGGAAGTCATTCGTCAGTCACAAAAGACAAATACTGTGTAACATTCATGTGAGGTTCCTAGATGTTGACTCGAGACAGAAAGACTAGAGGTTGCTGAAGGAAGAGACTGAGGGGTGTAACTCGGCGGTAGACATCGTTCTCAACACCTGAAAAGCCCCGGGTTCCATACCTAGCACTGCCAAAATAATTTAAAGGGGAGACGAAAATTTGGAGTTCACATATCATGTCTACAGATTTTTCAGTTTGGGATGGTGGGAAATTTCTGAGGATGGCATATCGGAAGTGTTTGCACCTCAGTATACATTTGCATAATGCCGCTTATGTACCCCAAAAATGGTTAAGAGATAGTCGCGACCCATACCCATAACCTTGACCCCTAAAGCTAAAACAAAGATGATTACCACACATATGGGGCCATCTTTGACGACGTAATGAGTTTCAGGATGGCACGAGCCACAGAGACTCAATCGAAAAGAGACAAGTTGGCCATACGTGTTGAACATTAGACACTGAGTTGCCATGTTCTGATAAATAACACCCTGACTTGTGCAAGCAACTATGATTAAATGGAGTGGGACAAAAGTAAAATGGGGCTGGAAAGATGGATTGACACTTGAAAGCACTGGCTGCTCTTGCAGAGGAACTGGGTTCTGTTCTAGAACCGACATGGCGGCCCACAATAGCCTAAAACTCGTGTTGATGGGCCAGTGCTCTCTTCTGGCCACTGTGGGCACATGTACATAGTGTACATACATGCATGCAGACATGTTCATGTCTGTTTTTAGTTGAGCCCGTACTCAGTGTTTGCTTATTTTTAATTTATTATGTATCCACTGTTCTGCCTGCTGTACGCCTGCACTTGCACTGTGGGCCAGAAGAGGGCGCCAGATCTCATTATAGACACTCGGGAGTCACCATGCGGATGCTGGGAATTGAATTCAGGATAATCTGAAAGAGCAGCCAGTGCTCTTAACTTCTGAGCCATCTTTCCAACCTCGCACTTCCTTTTTTTATTTTTAAATAGTGTTTATTTGTGCGCGTGTGTGGAGTGCTCATGTGGAGGTCAGAGACCTTGCCAAAAAAAAAGCCAGTTTTCTCTTTCCATCATGTAGGTCCTGGGGACAAAATTCAGGTTGTCAGGCTTGCAGCTGAGTGTCCTTTATCCGCTGAGCCATTTTGCCTACCCAAGCGTACTTATAATCCAAGAAAGCAGTTTGGCTGAAGTTCTGAGCAAGTTGATATAGAGCTTGTAGTCCTGGCTCTGAGGAACTAGAGGCAGGAAGATTGCTGTAAATTTGAGGCCAGGCTAGCCTACCTCATAACATTCTGGGTAAGAACCTGCCTCCAGGCTGGGTGTTGGTGGCGCACACCTTTTAATCCCAGCACTCAGTAAGCAGAGGCAGGCGGATCTCTTGAGTTCCAGAGCCAACCTGGTCTACAAAGCAAGTTCCAGAATTGCCAGAGCTACACAGAGAAACCATGTCTGTGGGAGGAAAATTAAAAAGCCAATTGCAGCAATGAGCCACGAGGCACGGCTTTGAGGGGACCCAGTGGTGAGCAGGACCTTGGCATTTGGTGCAGTCTGGGGACAAGGCTGTGTGTAAAGCCTGAGGGTTTAAGACTTCTACTCTCTAGAACCCATGTGAAAGCCAGATGTGGGACACACACCTGCTGTCCTAGTGCTAGGGAGACAGAGACCAGAAGACCCTGGAATTCATGATCAGCCAGTCCCCAAGCTCTGGGTTTCGGGAGTTTGTCTCAGGGTGAAGAGTGACAGAGAAAGTCAAAAGGCAATGATGCTGACCTCTGACCTCTACGTGCGTGTGCGTGTGTGTGCACGCGTGCATTGTGTAATACATACAAGACACAATGCACACACAAAACACGATACACTCATACAACTCACACCCAACACACAATACACATGCACACACAAAGCACACATTCACACACACATGAAGACACATACACACACACACATGCAATGCATCCACATGCATACACCACTACCACTCCACTCCCACATAGTCAGACTTGGGGTTTCACCAACTGATCTTTCATGGACAAAGTGGGATTTCTCTGCAGCTATTTAAATGTATAGAATAGCCCTCTCCTCAGCTGGGGGGTGTGAGGCCTTTGCCTTGACCGAGTCCGTCACTGTGCCTCAAACCTGGGACAAGACAGCACAGGGTAGATTTCCTTTGCATTTACGACTTACTTTTGCATGTCTGGGTTCCTGTGTATAGGAATGTACGTGCATCTGGAGTTCACATGCCTATGTGTGTCTGTACATGCAGAGGCCGGAGGGTTAACCTCTGGTGTAGGAGTCCCCAGGACGGCTGGGGTGTCCTTGTTTTTGTTTGTTTGAGACAAGGTCTCACTGTGTAGTCCTGGCTGTCCTAGAAGCAGGTTGGCCTCAAACTCACAGAAATCTACCTGCTGGAATTAAAGGCATGTGCCACAATGCCAGGCTTGTCTTAGTTTTTAAATTAACAACTGCAGCTGGGCGGTGGTGGCACACACCTTTAATCCCAGCACTGGGGAGGTAGAGGCAGGTGGATCTCTGTGAGGTTGAGGACAGCCTGGTCTACAGAGTGAGTTCCAGGACAGCAAAGGCTCCACAGAGAAACCCAGTCTCAAAAAAACCAAAGTAGTAATAATAATAAACTGCTTCCCACTGCTGTGGAGTTATCCTGGTTGGGGGGGGGTGCAGTGAGCAACCACCAGTGGCTACATCCCCAAAGAAAAGTGATTCCCTCTTCCATTAGGAGTGGAGGCCTTGGGAGCCCCTATCCCCCCCCCCCTTTTAACCTATGGCAAATGCACGACTCTCACTGAGAGTCCTCAAAAAGATTTGTAGTCCTTGGTTTGGCTTCCAGGCCATCTGAGGAGGAAGAGGGGAGAACAGTCAGAGATGGGCCCCAGCAAGACCGTTTCCTCTCTCCCCAGCCTGTGGAAGCAGCAGTATTATGCCCAGGTGAGAAAGCAGCTGGAGAAAGTTCAGTTCGTCAAGCCCCACATGGTGATTGATGGGAACTGGTACTCCCTTGATGAAGATGACCGTAACTGGTGGAAAAACTGAAGGCACCAGTCCCCCTCCCTGCCCTCGGGGCCCCGGCGCCTCCCTACCTGCCGAAACATTTGCCCCACCTCCGAGGGTGTGTCGGGAATAAAATAAACACTCAGCATTTGGAAAAGCATCAGGTGGCTGTGTTGATCAGTGGGGATGGGGAGCTGGCTCAGTTGGTAAAGGGCTTAGCGTGCTAGCGTGAGGACCTGAACTTGAGGCACAGAACCTATATTTAAAAAGCCGGGTGTGTGGGGCACACGCTTGCAGTTCCAGTGCCGAGAGATGAAGAAAACGGTTCTGACAAAACCAACTGAAGGGAGGAAGGGTTGATTTTTTTTTTTTTTTTTTTTTTTCTGGCCAGTGGTTCAAGAGGAGGATGGCGCATCACACCCACACTCCAAGTGAGGTAGCTCTTTGTTACCAGAATATAGAGCAGATATCCTGACCATAAAAGAGCTGGGATGAAGCTCAGTGGTAGAGCACTTACCCCTAGCACGCAGGAAGCTCTGTCTCATCCCCGGCACCACGTAACCCATGCATAGCGGTTAGTAAGTAGTGGAAGCCTGTAATCCCTGTTTCTCTTCCCTTCACCCTGCCTATTAATACTCTTCATCTGTGTGGGGGGGGGGTGGCTGGAGAGATGGCTCAGAGTTTAAGAGCACTGGCTGCTCTTCCAGAGGTCCTGGGTTCAATTCCCACCAACCCGTGGTGGCTCACAAACATCTGTAACGAGATCTGGTGCCCTCTTCTAGCCCTTGGGTTATGTCCAGGGAGAACACTGAACCCAGTTCTTGGCATGCATCTGCGAAGCTAGGCATGGTAGCCTTCTCAGCCTCCAGAATCAGAGACAAGGGGGCCCCCAGAGCAAGCTGCCTAGCAAAGCTGGCTACATCCATGTGCTCTAGGCTTGGCTGAGAGAGCCTGTCTCAATAAGATGGGAGGGCAGTGGATCATAATTTCCTAAAAATCAACCTCGGGGCTCGATGTGCTCATTCACACTCAGGCGAGTGTGCCCACAGACATGCGCATACCACATATGGAAAGTGAAGTAGTCTTCTCCTAAACCAGTGACGTCCAACCTTCCTGACGCTGTAACCCTTTAATACAGTGCACCGGCCATAAATCTGTTTTGTTGCTGCTACTTAACTGCAGTTTTGCTACCGTCATAAACTGGAAATACTTGATATGCGATCGTGAAGGGGTTGTGACCCACAGTAGAGAACGACTGCCTAGACCATTTCCCTGCTGGTCTCCTGGGATGCATAGAATACACTTCATATCTCCACAGACCTTCCCAGCACCTTAGACACAAGTGCCTCTCCTCATCTTACAGATAAGGAAGTTGAGGCATGGGTAGGAGAGCCATCACTCAGACCCGCAAATCTACTTCTGAGCACCATTGTCATCTCTGGGGTGTCCAGGGATCATTCTCCACCTTCTGTGTGCCTCAGATGGCTTTATTTGTAGCCCCACTATTCAAGCAGACTGAGAATGTTCTGGGCTTGTTCCTTATATTTAAAAAAAAAAAAAAAGTTGCCAGGCATAGAGCGCATGCCTTTGACCCTACTATTTGGGGGGAAGGAGTCAGGTTTGAGAGAGCCCAGTCTACATAGTAAGTTCTAGAACAGCAGAACTAAATCACTATGCCCTGTCTTGAAGGTCCAGTGGGTACAGGCACTTGTCACCAAGACAGGCAACCTGAGTTAGTTCTCACTCTCTCACGTGAGTCTTAGGAATCTGAGTCCCCAGCTTGTCTTCTGACCCACACACGTGCACTGCAATGTGAGCACATCTATTCACACACATTTGGCAGGGGGTGTTGAGACAGGGTTTCTCTGTGTAGCCCTGGCTGTCCTGGGACTCGCTCTGTAGACCACGCTGGTCTTAAGTTTTTCCAGAAGTAAGCAGTATTTCTGTGGTGATAACCATTAGCATTAGCCATATTTGGTCTTCTGTGCAAAAATGGCTCTCACAGCCTGGGGAAGTTTGCAGTATGTAACACCCAGACATTTGGTCAATGTGACGAGATCTGTGAGGAGATTGGGTGGATTAAAAGGGGGCGTAGTAGTTCCCCTCAGGCTAGGGAAGTGTCAGTCACAACACTGTTGGTCACCTTGAGCATCTGGACAGACAGATACGGGGTATGCAGCCACCATGACTGCTTGCGGGTGCCCTCAGAGTGCAGTTGATGGAAACCAACGGGAGCTGGGGGTCTAGCTCAGTGCAGAGTGCTTGCTGTGTGTGCATAAGGCCCTCGGTTGTGTCCCCATTAATGGGGGAAGGTTGGCAAAGGGGTAAAAGGGAGATAGATATATGGTTCATATACTGAGGACAGGGTAATCTATTACAGCAGAGGATGGGTGCTAGCTGGGGGCAGGTGTGTAAATGAAGCATGGTGTGCACGGCATGCTCACAGTACTAGGAATGTTATGTCTGCGTGTGAGTGTATAGGCATGGGCATAGACACATGCATGATGCTGCGGCTCACATGCAGAGGTCAAGGGACCCCTTTTAGGAATCAGTTCTCTCCTTCCGCCTTGTGAACGCCAGGGAGTAAAATCAGGTGGTCAGGCTTGCATGGCAGGAACTGTCACCCACTGAGTCATCTCACTGGCCCTGGAAGGGCAGTTCTTTAAACCCCCTAGTGTGCATTTTCCCACCTGCAGAAACCAGATGTGTTTCTGATTGTATGGCGTAGAAGCAGAAGGGGACTATGTATAGGACCATAGGAACTAACAGGAGAGGCAAGGGGAGGGGCAGATATGAGCAAAGTACAAATATATTTGTCATAGTGAGACATTTTTTAAGTCATTAGTATGCATGTGTGTGCTGTGCGCATGTGAGTGTATGTGTGCTCACATATGTGCACACATGAGTCTGGGTGCCTGCAGAGACCACAGTAGGGGATCTGACACCCTGGAGCTGGAGTTACAAGCAGTTGTGAGCTGCTTGCTGTGGGTGCTGGGAACTGAGCCCAGGTCCTCCGCAAGAGCAAGAAGGGCTTTTAACCACGGAGCCATCTCTCTGGCCCCAGAAACACATTTTTCCCCAGCTGTCTCAGCAATGGGAGGTAGGAGCTAAGAGAATCAGTTGATGGTTATCTTCAAGCACACAGCAGGCTCCAGGTTAGCCTGCACTCTGACACCACATGGACCCTCTCTCTCTCTCTCTCTCTCTCTCTCTCACACACACACACACACACACACATATAAATTTTGTGTGCTAATTTTTTCAAAAGCACTATTTTGTACTAAGTATTGTTCCAGGATGATGCATGGAATAAGGACTCTAGAAGCTGGTAAAGGAGGCCCAAATTCCCCAGCATAGCTCCCATCAGCCCAATAAACTGATGGCTCAGCAAGTGCAGGCGCCTACCTCCAGGACCGATGAAACGAGTTTGATCTCCAGAACCCACATGGGGGAAGTAGAGAAATGACTCGTGACTCAGATTCTAAATGATTAATTTCTGCCCTTCATCCCCTGGGAGAACCCAGGCATAGCATTTGGCCTCCACTGCCCTCTGTTTCCTTTGCTGGAAAATGGGAGACTGCTCTCCTAGTGGGGCATATGGTCGGTAAGAGACCAGGATTCCCGTGGACTGCGCTGGGGCCCTGTCCATGGTGCTGACAGGCAGGGCTCAGGCATCACATAGTGGTGGAATTAACATACCAGCCCCAAGATGCTGTGTGTATGAATGGAAGGTTTCATGCCCAAACAAGTTGTTCCTGCTCCTCCTCCTCCTCCTCCTGTGGTCCCCTTCATCGCTTGGACGGCAGCATCCCACCCCTTACAGCCTGCTCAGCAGAGACTGTGGCTTCACCGCTAGCTGGGAACAGGTCTGGGCAGGGAAGGGGTGTGTATTCAAGTCTTCTGAGAAGCGCAAGCACAGAGGCAGGGCATCTGGCATGTCCCCAAGTTACTTGAGTGCAGAACCCAGCTTTCTCCACACACCAATATTCCCTCCCTCAAGCCACCCTCCAGGAACACTGGGAAAGAGGTACATCATGAATGTTCCTGGATGCACACCGCACTCCGGGATGGGTGGAGGCCGAGGAGGCTTTCCTTTCTCTCATGTCTGTCTTTCCTACACTCCCTCGGGCCGGGCTGCTCTCTAAGCAACTGTAACACACCTTGCTGGTGCGTCCCTCTTCACCCCAGAGGACAAGCTTCAGGAGGGCACAGACTGTGGCTGTCAGGGTCACCACCGTGATCCTGGAACTCAGCTGAGCCCCTCGTGTGCAGCACATGCTTAGTAAATACAAGCAGGTAGGACTCGACTCGGGAGAGTGTGGGTTTGGGGCTGTGGATCGGGGGTGGGGGGAGTATTCTGCTTTGCACAGGGGTCGGGGTCAGGCTGTATACATGCTGGATGTGACAGCAAGAGCAGCTCCAGATGGAAGGTAGAGCTGTAGGGCTGGCAGCGTAGATGGTTCAGTGGGTGAAGGCGCTGGCGGCCCGGCTGTCGCAGGCTCCAGTCCCTGGGACTCGTGTGGTGGGAAGAACACAGACTCTTCTCACTTGCCCCCCCCACATGTACATACACGCATATGCATGCATGCACACGCAACACATACATAACACACATGCACAGGCACACACATGTGCACACACATGCACAGGCATACACATGCAAAAAAATGTAAAAGCAAATTTTTTCTTAGGGAAATGCATAGCATCACGGCTGCAGAGCTACTACTGAACGGCATGGCTCCCACAAAAGCAAACACCAAATGGTAGATGCCGCTTCCTCTGTCAGCACCTGTGTTCCCAAACTTGACAAGGCTGACCAGCCTCGTTTGTCCTCCCGTCTGCCCACCTGTCCACCGGCACAACTGCACCTCAGGCTGAGGACTAGGTGGTGACTCCCAAGGGGAGACACACCTTTCTTCGCCCAATGCAGGGCCTCACAAGACTGGGGTTGGTCTGGCGGGGCGGGGGGGGGGGGGGATGAGACAGCCCTGGCCTAAGTGCATAGACACACTGGCTCAGTGAATTCTCTTATTAACCGAGAT